ACTTTTTAGCGATGCCATTTTTCAAGTTCTTGACTTTCTTCTCTTACCGCTTAGAAATCCCTCCGCCCCAAATGTAACTTGGCTCCGATACCAATTGTTGGGATTTTAAGCGCGTAAGACTATTAAAATATCAAGAACGTGAAAAATAAATAAACACACTACACAAGAAGAATATATGAGAGAAAAAAAATTATATTTCCACTATTTCAGGACAATATACAAAAAACTCTCCCTGTTTACAAGTGCTAAATACCAGACATTTATAAACAGACTTTTCACACCCTACACCCGGATGTATTTTTCCGAGTAACTAAAACCAGTTACTCCTTACACTCACTCACACAATGTTGGTGATATCTTGTGTAGACCTCTCTCTTAACCTTCCTCTTTTTCTTTTTTTTCTTCCCTACGTATTGTTGCATGGCTTTTAAATAGCCAAATACACAATAATGGAGAATAATCTAGCTCACACCCTCCAAGAGAAGAAGACAAAACTCCTAAAGGCTCTCTGCACTTCTTGGTTGTTTCCACCAAGTTACATCTCTTTTTTTTTCTTTTTATTTTGTTTCAATTATTTAATCAAAATACCTCAACACGACGGTAATCGAATTTTTCGTTATCCATTTACAACCCTACAAAAAGGGATCAAAATTATCATCATCATTGATGGTGTAAATATAGATGGGTGTGTTAACTGGGTTTGACCTGGACACACTCAACCCGTAATATAAAACACACAATAAGAACACAAAGTATGACCTAACCGAGTAAATCTCCTCAGTCCGATTTATATTTTTTACTCTGTCTCAAGAGTGTACTTTTTTAGTGAGATAAAGAATGGATTCCCTCCTCTATCCATAATCATCATATTTATAGAGGAGGATTTGTGACCTTCCCCTGTTCATCCATGGACAAAATAGGAAGCTCGTGGGAAGGTCACTGTAGTTAATGGAAACATTGTATAATCATAGACTTGCTACTAATACAACCAAGAAGCACTGTTCAATCAATGACTATAACATGGATATTCTCAATCCAATCAACCCTGTAAGATGACAAACATCTCTTTCACTGTTTGCCTCGTGATGGACGAACGGCGGGGTGGTCCCCTGGTCTTTGACGTGGTTCACCATGCCTAAAAGACTGGACCAATGTTAGCCAAGTAATGTGATATGACCGGTCACCTTTTCTCAAAGGTTACCAGGTCATTTTTTGAGCTCAACCCGTCTCTTTGGCCTTCCGGAATATCCTTCATAACATTAGGCGACGAATTGGCTATCGCCAAAATGTGACCGGTCACCTTTTGAAGGAAGTGACCGGTCAACTTTTGACCCGTCCCAATAGAAGAGTTAACTCATTTGGTGATTGATGAAAGTGACCGGTCATACTTTGACATGTTCCTTTCGGTTATCCGGGCCGGGTATAAGGATATACCCATCAATCATGATTTATCTTCACATTTAAACTTGCAGATAAAACCAAGCAAATCAACAGTTATTGTGTAATTATATTCATTTCCCACCAGATTTACCGCCCCACCGTGTACAAGTTTTCACAAGTTTTATCTCTTTCCCTGTTATTCTCCTCCCAAACAGAAGGTATGTCTCAACTTAAATTCTTTATTCAACGTAACATTCATTTTGACCCACCAAATCATATCAAGTTGAGATTATACTGAATTTATTGTTCTAAAATGTTACCATGTCAAAATTTGTTCTCTTTCTTCATTTATTTTTATTAGTTATTAATAAAATAAAATAGTCAGATCACCCATTTTATTTGATTCACTTGTGAGATATTTCCATAACGCTGTTTTATCGAATTAACGTACTCCGGATCATATAATTTTTTTTAATGATAGATATACGTCTGATCGTGGTTGACTCCAGAAAGTTAAAACTAGCGGAAGGAGTAAGTCAATAAACTAAAAGAGGTATGCTAGGGGTATACCAAGTTTGTACCCCAAATTGTACATTAAGGCTCTGTTTGGTACGCAAAATTTAAGTCAAAGAATTGGAATTGGAGACTTCAATTCCAATTCTGTTGTTTGGTGATACAAATATATGTGATTTAAAATTGATAGTGCAAAAAATGAATTAAAATTGAAGAATTCAGTTCCATCTAATTCTATTCTAAAGAATTTCAATTTCAATATAATTCTGTGTAACAAAGTAACCAATCAAATCCTAAGTGTATCACAAACACACAGACAATAAATATTTTTGCGTAGGGATGTAAACAAATCAAATACTTTTAATTCGGTTTGTGATTTGTATTCGAATGTAATGATTTGAATTCGCATTATTCAAATACAAATACAAATTCAAATATTAGTTTTAATTCGAATATTAAACAAATACAAATACAAATATGAGTATATTCGATTCAGGTGATATTAGAATTTTCGAATATATGTATATACCCACAAATCATGTTTCAACACCAATAATCAAGTAAACTAATATAGTATAAAATGTATTTAATTAAATTACTAAGCTAGAATTTAACAAATTAACGTATCACGAAAATCTAAAACATATGATTTTTAGTAATATTTTATAAAATATAATTTGTGTAAGATGAAAATGTATTAATATTTTTAGATATAGTATAAGAAGTATCGTAAGTTAAATTATTCAAAATCTATGTTGGTCCATCATATAGATTATGGAGTATAATAATTAAAATATTCGTTTAGGATTCGTTAAGTATTCAAATATTAATCAAATACAAATTCAAATCTTATTTTTAAATAATCGCATATTTGGATTCGTATTCAAAAAAATTAAACAAATACAAATTCAAATATTTCAATATTCAGTTCAATTCGGTTCATTTACACCCCCTATTCCCTATTTGTGCGTGCAGAGACAATTATTATCAATGTGTAGATATATTTGGTAAGATGTTAGGTAGAAAACCAGGTGGCATTCGGTGAACTTTGGTCCATTTTTACCGGTGAAAGAGTGAATCTTTATAAATTTTCCCGAAAAAACACATACGAATTACGGAATTAGCATTTTTATCTAATTCTTCAAATTCAGAAGTCATTTCATAGGCGCCGTTTGCTCTGTCCGTTCTTGCAGATCAGAGAGATGTGGTTTCGCAATTAATTAATTCGTTAGTTCTAACGGCCGTATGGGACGGCGGCGGAGAATGACGGCGCTGATACTGTCGATCATCTCCCTCGGATTGCTCTTCACCGCTTACAATTCCGTCATGATCGCCGCTCCGTTCAGAACGGCCGGCCGTGTGGGGAGCGTAAAAACCGGGAACCCGAAATTCCACGTCGCCGTCACGGCGGAGAGCACGGCTTACTGTAAATGGCAGCTCCGGATCATGTACTACTGGTACTTGAAGCACAAGGATTTGGGCGGGTCGGATATGGGGAAGTTTACCAGAATTCTCCATTCGGGTGCTCCGGATAATCTCATGGATGAAATCCCCACCGTCGTCGTCTACCCCCTCCCCAAAGGCATGGATTTGGTATATATACCTTCTCCCTCCCAATTTATTTTATGTGGCATGATTATTTTTCACACAATCAAGCTTTAATTATTTTCTTTATTTATTTTTTACGCATTTGAAAACATAAAACAGTTATGGAACTTTTGATGTTGTTTATAAATATATATCCACTCAGTCTCTGAAACTTTTTCCCTTATTGATTTTTTACGCATTTGATAAAATAAAACAGTTATGGAACTTTTGATGATGTCTATTTCTATGTTTTCATTGGTTATTTGATAAAATAAACTATTCTTGACACCTCTTATTTCGAAGAACTTTTCATGTAGTTTTTTACATGTAAATTTTATTTTTTATTTCTATACCAATATGTAAATAAAATGAATTGAAAAAACTTGATATTTTACCTTGGTAATAGAATTGTGAGATATATTTAGCGACGGAGGAAATATGATCGGATAGATAGAGTAAGAATTAGTAGGGGTAAAAGTAATTTTTTAATAGAAAAGGAAAAGAGTTTGTAAGGATAATAGCATCGATATCCCCCGTTGTTTACAAAAAGAGCGTCAAAACCTTCTCTACTTTCAAAAGTTATTTGTAAAATCTCTATGGTTTTTAAATAATGCACAAATGCCTCTTCTTGCCTATTTTTAGACATAAAATGATATTTCTGTCCTTTGTTTTTCTCTATCTTCAAGTTTCACTCTTTTATTTTCATTTTTTGTTATACAAATAAATAAAATAAAATATACGCCCTCTCTCCCAAATTAAAGTTTTTCATTTATTTAATTTTCAAAAAATAATTTTTTTAAGAAAATGTTACAAAATAGAATGGAAAATTAAATAAAGAAATAAAATACACTTTTCATTATAAGTAAAAGTAAAATAAATAAAATAAAAAATTAGATAACATATACTCACTCCATCTCTAATTAAAAATTCTAACTTATTTGTTTTTAAAAGAAAAATAATTTCTTATTCACTTTAAAAAATGAAGAACAGAAAGATGAAATAAAATATGGAGTTAAAGAAAAAGATTATTTTTTATATTTTTCTTTCTTCTCATTACCTTTTTCAATTATTATTTTTACTTTGTACATAATATTTTTTTTCATTTTCTTTTGTAACATTCTCTAAAAAAATATTTTGTTTTCAAAAATACATTATGGAAAATTTTAATTGGAGATCGGAAGCCTATATTTGATTTTATATATTTGTATAATAAAGAAAAATAAAATTGGGAAAATTCAAGGTTGAGGAAAAGAAAATGCATAAATGTCATTTTTGCTTTAAAAATAGGTAAGGGATGCTTGTGTGCTCTATTTAGAAACCATAGAGACTTTACAAATAACTTTTGAAAACAGAAGGGGTTTTAATGGCCTTTTTGTAAACCAAAGGGGCACCCACATTATTATCCCGGAGTTTGTGAGACAAGAAAAAATGAAATGAGAAAGAGTTTAAAGGGTGGAGGGAGTAAATTTTATTTTTTACTTTTTTCAATTTTCATATAAATTTATTTTCAAATAATTTCAGTCAAACGTTGTAACCAACAGCTAGGATGCCATCGATAAATTAATACAGTACTAAATAGATAGGATGTGACAAGTAGATTCATACTTTTTTGTTGAATGTTTGTCTGTATCAGAATTATGTGGTGCTCAATAGACCGTGGGCGTTCATTCAATGGCTCGAGATTGCTACCATTGATGAAGAGTAATCTATCACTTTCATCTTCTTTGTTTTTTGTCCATTGTACATTTTGTTTTGGAGAGTTAAGATGCCCAATTTTGCAGGTACATATTGATGGCAGAGCCGGACCACATTCTGGTCAGGCCGCTACCCAATTTGGTGTCCGGGGAAAGCCCGGTGGGCTACCCTTTTTTCTATATCGACCCGTCCAAACACGAACGGATCATGAGGAAGTTCTATCCCGTAGAAAAAGGTCCCTTGACCGACATTGACCCCGTCGGGAACTCTCCCGTTATCATCAAGAAGGTCAAAATAAACCAAACAAAAAAAGAAGAAGAAGAAAGAAAATCTCTACTTATTGATAATCATTAATTACCTCCCCTTACCTAAGTTGACATTGTTTGTCCTTTCAGGACTTGCTGAAGAAAATCGCACCGACATGGCTAAATGTTTCCGTTCAAATCAAATATGATCATGAAGCCGATAAAGCTCTGGGTTGGGTTCAAGAAATGTGAGTGTTGTACGATATATACATTACACACACACACACCCTCCATGCGATTTTTTCTTAAAAAGTGAACGTGTCGTTACTCGTTAGGTACGGATATGCCATTGCTTCTGCTCTACACGGCGTGCGACATACTTTGCGCGAAGATTTCATGATACAGGTTTCGATCCGAGATGATCCAAATCACTATTGATGATCTTGTCTAATTTTCTTTATTGTATGTAATGGATGTGACCAAATGTTGTAAAATATTCAGCCTCCATGGGATTTGGAAATGGGAAACAAGTTCATTTTACACTATACATACAGGTTGGACTACACAAAGGTAATTTAACTAAGAAGTACTCTTCTATACATATAAATGTTACGTTCATTAATTTGTACATTATTTCAAGTGTATTAATCCATGCATATCATACTTACAGTTTATCTGATATGTAGTAAACTTGGCTTTTAGGGTGAGCTGACTTTTGGGGTCAATGGAGACTGGGGATTTGACAAAAGAACGTATCTCTACGTCGCTCCTCCTAGAAATCTCCCTTTGCCTCCTCCCGGGATACCCGGAAGCGTGGTATATATATATATATATATATATATATATATATATATATATATATAGTAGCATATACATATGCTCCCCTGTATATATCTATCTATCTATATATATATACTGATCGGTCGATAAAAAAATATTAAAGAAAAGCGTGCAAATTGGTTATGAATTTTTTATGCAGGTGACTCTAATGAAGATGATAAATGAAGCCACAGCTAACCTTCCTGGTTGGGATTCAATGAAGTGAACTCTCATAAAATTCTAGCATATATACATTTAGGTAGGCATTAAGAAGAATTTTGCTTACTGATCAGCTCATATTCATCATAATTCTAAGGATATGATGAAATTTACACACAAAAAAATTGATATAGGATCATGCAAATTAAAACTGTCCTTTTGCATAGCTAGACATTCTTTAGAGATGTGTGACATTTTTCATTGTGAAATGCGTACATAAACTGTTTCATTGATATATAGACCGTTAGAAAACTAAAGTTGTATCTCTTCGAAAAAACCCACTCAACTGCAATCTCAAACTTGTTCTGGTCTCTTTGGATTTGCATTTGATTTCTTGCGAGGTTTGGGAGGACGAGTGAGAGGTAGGAAATGGAGACTTTGTTCTAGTGTTCTGCGGTGAAACCGAGGGAGAAATATGTTACGGTTGTCTAGTTGAGGGAAGAGGACTTGTGGTGTTTTGTTTTTGATGAATGCACGGGGCGTAGGAAGAACGTTATATTGTTATTATTATGGGGAGATAATGGGGAAGTAGTATGGCAATAGGAACTCCATTGAAGTGGTGTAGAGGAGAGAGAAATAGATGGGCCTTTAAAACATTTTTAAAAGTAGAAAGTGAAACCTTTTTTTAGGAGAGACGAAAATGAAAATGTGATATTTTATTACTCTTTGAGATAGAGGAAGTATTTGATTGTTTGGGTTGGAGAAAATAAAATAAGGAATAAAAATGTAATAGAAACCACTACGATTTATAAAAAGAATATAAAACGTAAAATTTAAAAATTAAAAAATATAAATAATTAAATAAGAGGTAGTACTAAAAATGTTTAAAATTCCTAAAATAAAGATAAAATACTAACTTAAAAAACTGACTTAACAATAGCTCTCTTACTCATCTTATTCTTGGATATTCTTAACGGTATTACTCAATATTTTGCACATTTGTGTCATGTTCTTTTGAGTCGGAAAAATTAACTTCCAACTTCTTTTGATTTCTTCCAGTTTTTTCCAACTCCTAATTTTTTCCAACAACGACTAAAAAAATGTATTTATATATGATGAATCTACAATAACATTATATATCTAAATTTATGACATACCTCCTCAAACACAGATAATGATGAATTTTTTTTTATCTAAAATTTGAGTTTTCTTACGTATTTATTTGGTTGATCATTTAATTAAGTGACTTTTAATATTTAAATTCTTCTAACAGTTTCCCACTCCTTCCGATTTCTTCTAGTGTCAAATTCTGAAATTTCAACGCAAAAGAACATGACCTAATACTCATTTTTTATAACTCCCTAATAGAATGTTCATTTTGAATATTTTTTGAAAGAGTGTTTCTTTGGTGTACCTAAAGTCCAAAAATATATTGTAAACCTTCTCACATAAAAATTAGTTTTTTATTTTTTTAAAACATAAAAAAATATTTATTTCAACAGTAAGCAAATGCTTATCAGCCTCATCGGTAGGTGCATCGTGGACCTTAGATGCACGGTAGAATTTGATTTTTTGAAAATAATAGTGTTTTTCAAAAGAATGTTCTCTTGACCTAGCCGCAAGTCACTCTCCTCGGGATCGTCCCGGCCCATAACCCCTTCTCACGTGGGCTGTGCGTCACTTACAAGTTGGCCGATGTGATCCCTCCCGCGGGCTCCCCTTCTTGGTGGACCGAGTCATGGCATTATGGGCCTAAATATATTTACACACACTGATTAGGCCTACTCCCAATATCCATATCACCACGTTTAAAATTTTTAGATATACGGAGTAATTCAATTGTGCATACTTCCTTCACTTGTAAAAAAAAGTTTACACCCTCGAGCACGGTATGTCTTGTTACTGAAACTCAAAAAAGTTGGTCTAGGAGTGTTTCTAGTCGGGTGGTTGGGCTGTCTTTACCATCTCCTAGGCCGGTAAGATCAGGAACTTTCAAATTGTTTGTGGATGCAGCTTTATCTCCCCTTCTTCTATGGTTAGCTTTGGGTGTGTTCTCTTTAACCATGATGGCTCTTTCTTTGCTGCGTTGAATGGAGAATTAGTATGTGAGACTGATCCAGGTTTAACGGAGGCGATGACATGTAGAAGGGCTTTGGGTTGGGCGAGGGAGCACGGACTTACGGAGTTGGAGGTGTTCTCGGATTGCTCTAGGGTTGTGGAAGCAATAAATGGAGAGTCTATTTTTTTGTCTTATGTTGGTTCGGTTATTAGTGATTGTCGAGGCTTGTTATCTCAGTTTAATTATGCTACTTTGTCGTTTGTCCCTCGGACATCCAATGTGTTAGCTCATGTGTTGGCTAAAAGAGTTGTGATGGAGGCTGGGGTTTGGTTTGTGACTCCACCTAATTTTGTACGGCCTTTTTTGGTTGAATGAAGTGATTTATTTGTTTTCAAAAAAAAAAGTTTACATTTTTTCCTAACACTACATATGGTTCAAAAAATTTGAAAGGAAAAAAAATAAGATGGAAATTAATTTTTCTTATTTGGTTAAGGAGAGAAAGAAAAGAAAAGAAGATAGAAAAGAAAATAAAAAGGTAAAATATATTAAAAGAAGAGAAAACCAAATTTCTTCCATTTTGGTAAGGAAAATCTGAGAAACTTATTTTCATTTTTTTTCCCTCTTAATTCCTTAAACCAAACATAGCGTAAATGAATAGCAAAGGAATTTGTTCACACTTCACATTTATCATTTTTGTTTTTAAGAACATGAGTATCCATTATCTCTCTTCCCACCAATTATAACCTGTGATTTTTTATTTTAAACTTTGTGAAATCAAACTAAAAATTCTTTTAACATAGTTACATTGGGAAACCCGCATTGTATTTCACATTATCTTAAGCATCTAGATTTGCCATTTTGAAAATACTACTCAAGAACAAATATTAGTTTAAAAGAATGTCCTTGGGTAAAATACAACCAAAATACCAAAGGAAGAGTTTATAGTTTTTATTCGCTAAATAGAAGTTTTGACAATGTAAATGATGATAATGTGATGACAATATAGTAGTGTGATTGGTGGAAATGTGGAAGTCGATCACTGGTCAAACAGTGGTTAATGCCAGCAACACATGGCGGCGCCCGAGGAGCCAGCGGCAGGGCTCCGGTGACAGTGTAGTAGCGCTAGCGTGGGAGTGTAGCAGAGTGGAATGTGGGAGTCGTAACAAAAACATTTTTAAAGTTATTCTTAATGAGAGTGAAATTTTCCAAAACAATAACATTTTTCTGCCCATACTCCCAAAGTCTTAAGGCGTCAAAAGAACAAAATGAAAAAAGATAAAAAGATGAAAGGTTGGAGTGGCCCATTTGGTTACCATCTCCAAGATTTAAAAAAGATGAGCTCCATCTTTGAAGACCACCTCAGACTCGGTCAGACGGTCACTGAAAGAGCGTAAATTAGACCTTAATCATAAATTACTGGTAAAGATTTGAACATTCATCTGATACTTGCAGAGGTCCTACGTGATGGGTGTATTCCACCCATGACCGGTCAAAGTAGAAGACCAAATAGTTGACCAGTCAATCTGAACGTATAGGAAAGGGAGACTTTAATCGTCAGCCGGAAGACACCCATTCGGTCAAAAGGTGACCGGTATACTTCAGAAAAGTATACCGGTCAAACTACTTCATCGCCTCATTCATTCCTTAAATGCGATAAACTCGTCCCTAGGAAACTACCCGGTGTAGTTTCCAGGGTTAGAAAGCGTCGGCAGAAGAGAATCTAAAAGGGCTTGGATTGTAGCGACCCATATCAGTGGAGGATCGCTGGAGATATTCGAACATTCCATCCAAGGCGTTACCTGACAAAGGAAGTAATCTTCCCCACAAGATGACAAGGCAGCTAGAGGACGAAGCCCATGATCACCTCCCACTAGCCGAGAACGTGCCTCCACATGGGTGCACGACGTCCTGTTCACCCCAAACCTAGTATAAATACTGCCGTAACTCTCAGAAGTAGGGATCCGAATTCATTCTTTCCAAACTCCCTTGTAAAAGCACCCATGCATTCTCTTATATTAATATCAATTGGGCTACAGGTGTTTCCACCTACAGTCCTACCGGTCACTGGAGTGTTTTTACCTTTTTATTTTATCGAATCAAGTGAACTATTCTAGACCCGGTCTAGTATAGTTTACCCGGTTAGGTAATTTACACCATCATTGTGCATAACATAATCGTCTTCCAGCGTAGTTGCTAGGACTGAATTCGAGTCTTATCCATTTAACACTCTTTGTCTTTGTCAATTGCACAACGCCCACCGATACGATTTCCAAGATTAAAGACTCTCTTTCAGGGGGTCTTGAGTTTGAATACGAATTCGAATATGTAATGACTTTTTATATGCAAAGGTGTACATGACCTAATTTATGTAAAAAAAAAATACTCAAAGGAAATAGATATATAGTGTGATAATTGAGTACACAAGGTAAGGGTGGCATGTGATATGCATAGTGTCTTTCTTCCATAATCCATCTCAATGGGAGACACCCTGTGGTGTACCTACCAATGCACTCAAGCTTTTCTTAGCCTCCACTTCACTTCTTTTTCCGCCCTTTACCCCATTCCCATGTCTCTCTCCCTCTCTGCTTTTCTCGTCCCCTCCTCAGTTTCAATAATGTTTAACTTCCATGCAGTTTTCAAAAATTAAAGAGTAAATTTTATAAGGGGATATTTTCATACTTTGTACTTTAATATGTAAGTGATCTTTTTTTATGAGTATCTTTTAACAAAGGGTCTTTTTTTAACTTTCCATCATTGTTAAGGTGAGGACTATGAGTATAATTTTACATCGATCATATATGTCTAGTATTGTATTTTAATGTGGACTCAACGGACAACATAACAATAATGACAATGATTGTGGACTAAAATTCCAACCAGAGGTTAGACAACATCTATAGACTATGATTGCAGTAAACATCGACTCTAGTCGACAAACAATGCATCAACAACGACCTCGGGCTATGAATGGAAACCTCTAAATTATCTCATATTGTAAACCAAATATGATAATATTCTATTTCGTCCCTTTGGTTTTGGGATCCCGACAATTCGAAACAATTTGCAATGCCCCAATTTGAAAATTTTGTACTAACATTTAAAATAAATTCTCAAATAAAAGTGCAATAAAAATGTTAAAAAATACGGAGTAACATTTTATTTTACAAATCTTATAAAAAGGGACTAAAGAAAGTAATGTAAATAAAAATTTGCGTTTAATACATAAATACATGGGACAACGGGACCTAACGGGATACCCAGAGCATTCTTTATTTGTCCCGGTCTCGTTTCATTTTTGATCGGTTTGGAACAGGTTCGGGACAAAATTTTGTCGTCCCAAATGAAACAAAACATTATAGAGATGAGACTTAGATATTTTGGAATAGAACAACTTGATCAAGATTTTTGTCCACCCTAACTTCTTCCAATTAATCTGAATTAAGGAAAGAAATATGTGATTCACATTATGTCTCTCTTTAGCATAATCATTTATCATACAATTTCATTTTTTTAACTTTGAAAAAAAGAACTCAAAATATTTATTTTAAGACAAAAACAATAACACTCCATCCGTTCAAAAAAGAATGTCATACTTCACTAATAAAAAAACACAAGAACGGTGCTTTATTAGCACATTTTCATTGATTATTTGATAAAATAAAATATTATCGTACTTCTTTTTTGTAGAACTTTTGACGTAATTTTGAATATGTTATTTTTATTTTTTATTTTTATATCAATATTTAAATAAAATGAAATGAAAAACTCACAATTTATTAACTAAGTAAAAACTTTTATAAAAAAGAGATGACAAAAAATATTTCATTTTATTAAATAATCAATGCAAAACACACAAACAAACAAAAGTTCTTATAATTTTTGAATAGTAAAATGTGACATTCTTTTTTTATATGAAAAATTCTCCCTCCGTCCAACAATAAACTTTCCAGTTATTATTACGGGTTCTCGATAACTTATGCTTGCATAATTTTATCAATGATTTGATCATAAGAAAAATATCTTTGTCACATCTTTTTTTGTAGAACTTTAATATAGTTTTGAATAATATAATTTATATTTTTAATCATTTACCAATGTGTAAATAAAATAATTTTTAAAAAAAAATAAGACTAGGGAGTTAATTGTGAGAGGGAAGAAATATAAATTATTGTGAAAACATCAAAATCCAAAAAAGAATAGGGGACAAAGAATAGGAGTACAAAACCAGCTAGCTAGTCTAGAAGTGTGTGTGTGTATATATATATAAGTGGTCAATTGAGAAACCACCACAAATCCAAAAAACCCCAAAATTAGAATAGAAAACATGAATTCCATAGTCCTCTCGTTAATCTCACTATCCCTTGTAGCCTCCGCAGTGGGACTAGAAAAGGGATTCATTACCCTACAAGTCCTCCAAGCTCCTTACCCCTCCTCCCCCGCCAGCCCATGGGAGGAAACCGCCGTCCTCCGAATGCAGGCCGGCGACGAGGCCCGCCTGCGGTATTTGGGCAGTCTGGTAGCCCGGAGATCCGACGTTCCGGCCGCCTCCGGGCGGCAGATCACCCAGAGCCCGACTTACGTTGTGGGTGCCAAGATTGGGACGCCGCCGCAGGCGGTGACGCTCGCCATTGACACTAGCAGTGACGTTGGCTGGGTTCCCTGCTCCGGCCACCCCGCGGCGGCGGCCGCCTCCTTTGACCACTCCAAGTCCGCCACTTTCAAGAATGTGTCCTGTGGAGCTCCTCAATGCAAACAGGTTGAAATTCATTTCAACTACTCAGCTCCCACAAGTACTTTATTTAAATCTTTTTAATTGTCTGTTTCCCTTATATATAAAATTATATAATGAATTAAAATACAAATATTATACCAAATTATTGCCATTCAAAAATAATTTTAATATATTACTTTTACCTTACTACACTTTCGATGCTTTGTTCATAAAATTGATGGTTCATATCTCTCCTAACCCACCCTAACACCTCCCATTGTATAATAGCCACACATTTTGTGTGGGAGGGGGGCTTTACGGCGGGGTTGGTGTGGGGGTGCAGGATGGGGGGTTTAGCCATTTAGGAGAGTTGGAATTGCCAAATTTGAAAATGGAGCATCTGAAATGCCTCAAAATGACAGTGGCACTAGAGTGTCATCGTACTCCGGTGTTACTAGAACCACACCAAGCTTTTAATAATCTTTTGCAAATGACTCAGTGCTCTTTTTTTAGGTGTCTAACCCGAGGTGCGAAGGCAATGTTTGCGCATTCAACTTCACCTCGGGTGGATCCAATGTGGCGGGGACCCTATCGGAGGACAACATCACCCTCTCGAGGGACGCGGTGGCCGGGTACACCTTCGGGTGCATCCAGAAGGCCGCCGCCCCGACGCAGGGCCTGTTGGGCCTGGGCCGAGGCCCATTATCATTCCTCTCCCAAACGAAGGACCTCTACAACTCCACATTCTCCTACTGCCTGCCCACCTTCAAGTCTTCCGGCTTTACGGGCTCGCTGAGACTAGGCCCAGTTGCGCAGCCCAAGAACATTAAGTCCACTCCGTTGCTTATCAACCCTCGCCGGCCGTCGTTGTACTACGTGAATTTGGTCGGAATTCTGGTCGGCAAGAATCGGGTCAACATCTCCTCCGCCGCGCTTGCCTTTAATCCGGCCAACGGCGTTGGGACCGTTATCGATTCTGGTATGTTTACTGTATCACGTTATCACTTCCTTTTAAAATTCGATAGGAAAATAATGCTAGAATCACGAACATATACTTCACAAATTTCACAAACTTATCTTTTGTGAATTTTAAAATAAAATTTCATTTATTATTTGAATGTATCTTAATTCTAGGAAAGTGTTAAAAAAGAAATTTGTGAATTTTGTGAACTATTTGTTTGTGACTCTAGCATTACTCAATTCGATTTACTCCGTATTTAGTTTCCTTTGAATTTAATACTACAATGATTATATTTTTTTTATGGAACTAATAATGAAAAAATTCCAAAATTCATTATAAAGACAAATTAAGGGAAGAAAGGGAGAAAAAGTGCTAAAGTTTACATTTTGTTTCTATCTAAATGTAGTATTAATAATTTTTTTAAATATAATTTTGAAATATTAAATGTTTAAGAAGTACCCCATCGGTCTGAGTATTCATCCATGTTTAATTTTTTTTGGTAAATTTTGACTCCAAGTTAAATAAAAGTGATATTAGATATTGATACAAAAATAATTTTATAATATTTATTTATCAATTATTTTCAAAATATTATTTTCTCTAACTAATATGCAATATATATTTTAGTTAATTATAGGTTAAAGATTGAAAACGACTATATAAAAAAAGTCAAAATTAATATACTCAGAGATGTAAGTAGTACAAAATATATCTATGTATAAATATCAATATTTACAACTATTTTTCTTTTGACAAAGTATACAAATAATAAAAGTAAATATATTTTGTGACATTTAAATTTGTGACGGCTAACATTTTTCTAATTTACGTAAAACTTTAATCAAGGAAAGTTCCTCGTCACCGTGAGACTAAACACCCTCTTTTCATGTGACTTTTGGCCTGTCACGGACAGCTCATAAAAAATTTCACGGGACACCAGTGATAAAGCATCCGAAAATATAAAATTCATTCTTAAGAAATAAAATTAATAATTAATCTGTCAATGAGTTTTACTTTATCTTTAAAAAATTTTAGACTTTAGATGTCCTAATTTATTTTATACTTTACGTAAAATGAAATTAAATTTTAAATTTTTTAAATTCATTAAAATAATATTTAATTAATAAGTGACAAGAATATTTCATTTTATCAAATAATTAAAAAAATGTTAAAACAAACAAATCGTGACTTCTGAATAGTGAAGAATGTACTACCTCCGTCTTATTTTTATTATAAAATGAGAATTACGAAGCAAAATTCTATCATGTTTAAAATCATTTTATTTATAACTTGTTATATCAATAAGAAATAAAAATTATATACTAAAAAATTACATCAAAAATCTTACAAAACAAGAAATTACAAGAATATCGAATAATCAATAAAAACACAAATAAACAAAATTATCGAGAAGAGAGAGGAAATAAAATTGTAATTAAAATGGAGGTGGGAGTAATTTTTTTTTGGCACAAATGGGGTAAATTTTTATTATGATTAATAAAGTGCAAAATTGAACGAATTCAGGGACGGTTTTCACGAGGCTAGTGCAGCCGGCGTACGAGGCGGTGCGGGACGAATTCCGGCGGCGGATGGGGAGGGCGGCGGTGTCGTCCCTGGGAGGGTTCGACACGTGCTACCAGGTCGCGGTGACCATACCGAGCATAACGTTCGTGTTCGAGGGGATGAACGTGACGCTGCCGCCGGACAACTTCCTGATCCACAGCTCCGGCGGCGGAACCACCACCTGCCTCGCCATGGCCGCCACGCCGGCGCTCAACGTCATCGCCAGCCTCCAGCAGCAGAACCACCGCGTCCTCTTCGACCTCCCCAACTCCAGGCTCGGGGTTTCCCGCGAACCCTGCACCTAATTCAATTAAATTATTTGGGTTTTTTTTATTTATGGTAATAATAAATTACTGGGTGGTTAATTTAATTCCATAGAGTTAATTAATTAATTATTGACCGGTCACGGGGAAGACTGATCGATGGATATGATGATGTTATTGTTTTTGTCTGGTTTCACTTTTGTTTACAGCCGTATTATTATTATTATAAATTTATTTACATGTCGTTGTTGTAAAAGACAGACCATTTTGGATTGTGTGTAGCAAATCACGGACTCACGGATTGCAATATGTTTTGGCGTTTTCACTTTTTTTTTTTTTTACTTTTTCTGTGAGGGTGTCTCACTTTATAAAAGTTACTCAATCCGTCTTGTCTCAATTTGAGTTTATTATGTTTAAAAACAGTGTTGTAAATTAAATGTAAGTGGATGAAATTTATTTAAACGTGATTGAGAGAGTAAAGCAGAGTGTAAAAATGGCCAAAAAAATTAAGAGTGCATGTATAAGTAATAAAAAAAGATGATTAAAGAAGTTAGTTGATTGTCCCAAATTAGATGTGTGCCTTATGAAATGAGACTGAGATAATATGTAGAAAAAGTAAAAGAGTAATTTAACTTTGTAAATAGGAGAGTGTTTTGGAAGGACCAAAAAGTTATTTTTTGCCACAAAATCGTATTCCTTCCGTTCCACAAAACCCTTCCAGTTTTGACTTTCGAGAAAAATAAGGAAAGTGTAATTTTGGTTGACTTTCTAATTTTGCCCTGATGTGATGAGAAAAAGTATGATGTAATAGATAGGGTATGAAAAAGTATGGGTAAAAGTGATTTTTAATAAAAAGTGGAAATGTTTTGTGGAAATTAAAAAAACGAAAGAGGAAGATTTTTGTGGAACGGAGAGAGTAGCTCTTATGTAAACTAAAAAAAGATGAACCCAATTCTCGGAGGTCCCTTCAAAAATAATGCAACAGTCTCAATTTGGAAAGATTCTATACATAGCGTAACTACCTCCCAACATATTTGTTGGGATTCAAAATCAAGTATTACCAAATCTCCAATCATTAATTTAGCATTTGGATCAGAGCGGTAACAATCAGAGCTCTTATGTAGACTCAAATTAAAAGAAAAATCCATACTCTCAAAATTGCACGATTTTACATTATTAGGACTGAGTATCATATTTAATTACTACCCTTACCCTTATTGAATGCCGGAGCATGAGAGCAATTGGGTAAAATCAGACAATTTTGAGGGCAATAACGTGAATTCTTCCTTACCAAAAAGAGCAATACAATCACTTTTCTTCTTTAAGCTGGTGTAGGGCGGGAGCGGTCTCTTTTACGGAAGAGGGGTCCTCATCAACTGCGTCGTTACCAGCCGCCGCCATCCCCGGCATGGTTGGAGAAAAGGGACCGCCGCCGTGTGAACTGGCGGCGGCGATGGGATTATTCGCGGCGGAGGCGGAAATGGCAGCGGCAAATGAAATGGGCATGAGGCAGAGGCCTTTGCCTTGGAGGTATTGCATGGCGGTGCCCATGTCGTCCTCCATTAGCTTCGCCACCTGCTGCTCCGTCAATCTCATGGTGTCGCCGCCGCTACAGGAGGTGGAGGACGGTGCCCTTTTGGGAGTAGGTGTTCCTTTGCTGCCTACACCTCCTTGTATGCATTCGCTTGCCCCCTATCACATCACATCAGACATTGTAGTTACAAGAAGTGGTTTGACTATTTTATTGTAGCAAATGGTTTCAATAAAACAAAATAGAGCCTCGAGAGGATGTGTATGGAGAGGTTACCCTATTCGAAAGTAGGGAGGCTGTAGCAAATGGTTCAATCATAGTTTTCAGAACCAAACCGGTGATCGAACCGATCAAGGCACTGATTCACTGGTTTACTGGTCGAACTAGTGGTTCGAGTGGTTGAACCAGTGGTTCAAACATTTTCAATAAATAAATAAATAAATATAAGGAATATATATATATATATATATATATATATATATATATATATATATATATATATATATATATATATATATATATATATGGGATCAGATGACACCTTACGGTGAGATGACATGCTAATGACACAAAGCTCACCACTGGCCACTGCAAAGCTCACCAAGGACAACTACAAAGCTCACCAAACTCTAAGGCAAAGCTCACCATATTTTTGCAACACTTTGAATTTTTTTTGAAAAAAAATCAAATGAAGAGGTGCTGACTGGACTTTGACCATTGACTGTTGACCATCACCGGCGACCCCCTGCCGCCCCAGACCACCGCCGCCGGCCGCCGCCGACCTCTGCCGGCCGCTGGCTGCCGATCTCCGCCGACCACCGCCGCCCACCGGCGGCTGCCGCCAACCTCCGCCTCCGCTGCCGCTGACCGGTGGTTGACCGGTGTTGCTATTTTGTTTTTTATTAATTTTTTAATTTTCAAAATTAAAAAAAAAGGAGTTTTGGTGTTCAAAGTGGTGAGCTTTGCTTTATTCCCAGGTGAGCTTTACATTGGCAATGGGTGAGCTTTGCAGTGTAATATGGTGAGTTTTGCGTCATCTCACCGAAGCATGTCATCTCACCGTAAAGTGTCATCTCACTGGAATCAATCCTTTTATATATATATATATATATATATATATATATATATATATATATATATGTATGTATGTGTGTATGTATGTATGTATCCACGTTGTGGAATTGAATTACAAAAAACTAATACGGAGTATATAAGTAAATAAAATAACATTTTCTCTTTTTATAAATAAAAAATTGATGTTTGACTAAATTTATAATTTAACTTAATTTACTTGAGTCGTGTCATTAAATAAAAAATAAAATTTACTTATTTAAAAAAACTTATAAATAAAAAGTAATTTGAATTTTTTAAAACTTTTACCTATAATTTATATTTATATATATATATATATAATATTTCTGTGATATGCACTCCATATCAATTACATCAATGGGTTTGAATTTTAGTTAAAAAAAACTATATATACTTAAAAAGTATTTGATAAAAAAATTTAGGAAAAATTACCCAAAATAATCCCAACTTTACCCGGTCTTTCAAAAATAATCCCACCTTTCACTGTGATACATAATAATCCCAACTTTATTGAAATTTGCCAGTTTTGGGTCGCCGTTAAGTTTCTAACGGAGGGTTAACGGAAATGCCCGTTTTAGGCAACAAAATGAAAGTTCGGATTATTTTTGATGAATTTTTGTTTTTGAATTTTTTTTGAAATTTTTATTTAAATTTTTTGAATTACTTTCAACCTCCATTTCTTTTTCTTTTTTAATGATTATTCTTACCTTAGAAAAAAATAGATATAAAAAATAATGAAAATGAGAAAAATAACTAAAACCATACAAAATTAATCAAATAAATAATGTAATCAATAGAAATTAAACAGAAACTGATAAGAAATAAAATAAATATATACGGAGTGGTGGGTTTTAACATTTTACACACTATACGGAGTCTTAATGTACTGCTTATTTTTTAAAAGAACAAGCCGTCCGGTAAAGTTGGAATTATTGTACATAATTTTTTCTAAAAAATAAGAAGTGATATGTTAATACTTTGTATAATGCGTAAAATATTAAAGCCCACCCGTATATTTTTATTTTACTTTTACCAATTTCAAGTTAGTTTCCATTGATTACCTTATTTATTTTATTATTTTTGCATCATTTTAGTTACATTTCTCATTTTTTTCATTTTTTATATAATCTATTATTTTTATTTTTTAAACTAAGACTAATCTTTAAAAAAGGAAAAAGAAATGATGATGGAGGTAGAAAGTAATTTAAAAAATTTAAACGAAAAATTTTTAAAAAATAAAAAAAATAAAAATTCATCATTTTTATATCTATTATTTTTTTTTTTAGACTAAGACTAATCTTTAAAAAAGGAAAAAGAAATGATAATGGAGGTAGAAAGTAATTTAAAAAATTAAAATGAAAAATTTTAAAAAAATAAAAAAAATGAAAATTCATCAAAAATAATCCCAACTTTCATTTTGTTGCCTAAAACAGGCATTTCCGTTAACCCTTCGTTAGAAACTTAACGGCGACCCAAAACTGGCAAATTTCAGTAAAGTTGGGATTATTATGCATCACAGTGAAAGGTGGGATTATTTTAGAAAAACCGGGTAAAGTTGGGATTATTTTGGGTAATTTTTCCAAAAATTTAAATAAAGAATATACAAAACGAATAGTAGAGAGTAAACACAAAGCATTGTGGCCGAGATGGTCTCTTGATGCCCCGTCCAAGCAGTCCTGGGTTTGAATCCTTGGACATGTGTTTTTTAAAAATCTTCAAAAAAGAATTTAAAAAACCGGTTCCGGTGTTAAAACCAGCCGGTTTTCTCCGGGTTTAACCGGTTTCTACCGGTTCTATGCAGGATACGGTCTGATTGTCTGGACCGGACCGGCTCGGCGTCCGGTTCACCGGTTCCCGGTCCGAACCGGCCGGTCCGGTTTGGTTTTCAAAATTATGGGTTCAACAACAACAACAACCCAGTAGAATTGCACATCAGTACGGGCCTACTGTCGGTCTGGGTCTGGAGAGGATATGTGTATGCAAACACTAAAAATAGAGACTATTTCCAAGAGTTCTCCAACTCAAGCGTTATAGCAAATGGTCAAGAAAAATATATAAAGAAAAAAAGATATAATTTGGTCATGTGAATAAATAGTGAATGAGACCAGTAGTATAGGATGAAGGGAAGTGTTAATTTATTGTGTATAATTCATAATTGTATGTAAATAATTGAAAAAAATGGGACTATATCACTACTCTCTATCTTAGTGAGGTACCCCATTCAATCATTCATCATTTGCAAAATTATGGCGGAGTATAATTTTCTTATGAACAGCTTTTTTTTGTTTCTCTATCCTCGAAACAATTTTCAATCAAAGAGGAATAACATTTATTTAAAGGACGCAGGGAGTAATAACTTGCTATGTTGTTGCTTTTACGTCTTTTCTTTGAAAAGACAGCAGATAAATAATGCCTCGCGTTAAGGTGATACAACAACAACGAAAATAACAACAATGCCCCAATGCCTCAAAGGCTCCCGCACATCGCGGGTAGGGGTGGGGGTCCGAGAGTTGTATTGACTAAATGTTACTTCACGGTAAAAGTAGCACAGAAAATTTAAGAAAAACAACGTAGTTTAGTGCAAAGAGAGAAAGACAAGGAGTACCTCCGAAGACATAAGGGCAAGTAGGGGAGCAACAGTTGGAGCACCACCCAATCTGCTCACACTCAGAACCTGAGTCAATGAAAATTGAAAGCCAGCGGTTTTATGTTGTTCTTGCAATTACAAAATGACTCAGTGACTCACCCAACCCACTTTTTCCAAACATTTAAGCGAACTTTTTTTATAAATGAAAAATGAGAGATGGAGATTATACTTTGACTTGGAGCTGGAGAAATTTAACATAGTCGATGATCTCGTCCAGCATTGAAGCCTTGTCAGTCTGTCATTCCATAACACAACCCCATCCACATTAGTCTCCATTTTAAACAAACTTTTCTCAGGCATGGTTGTAATGAAATCGCAAAATTCTAATTTCATTAAGAGACAAGATTAGTTTTTCCATATTTTTATTCAAGTTTATTTCAATGGAAGTTAAAAAATAATGTGATAAGATTGAGAAATTGTCTATTGTTCATTGGTCTAATATAAAGCGCTAAATGTCCTCTAGACATTAAACCATGATCTAGCATTTGGCCATGCTCAATCCTAGACGACTAAAGTAGATCTAGTATCTGGATAGGGACCTCAACAAAGTTAGACTAAGATTTTTAGCTGTAATGTTATAGGCCATTGTGTTGGTAACAATTTGATAAATAAATAAATATATTCCTTATCTGATTTGTTGGTAAATATAGGAAGTTATGGCCATGTATTTAGTGCTGTGTATGGATACAGGTGGAGAGACCAGCATGCCACCATATCTAAACAGTAAAATGACAAATGTATCCAACAGCCATAATGCAAACGCAGTTAAGACATTTTAGGATCAATAATTATCTCTAACCATCAACATTAATAATCATAGATGATAACAATCGATCATTAAGAGAATAATTGATCAGTTATTGAAGTTAAAATTACCTTATTAGCATTGGGAACCAGCTCCTGCAGGGACTTCATTCCATCTGCGATTCTCTCTCTCCGTAACTAATATTTGGTTTTGCACAGAGAAGCAAAACATAAGCCACCATAATAGTAATCAGAAGCATACTACTAGTAATAGAAACAGGGAAATAAATAATTCGAAGATAATAAAAATACTGAATATTATCTGGAGACTTGAAAAAGGGAGAAGGGAGCATCAGTGCATACTCTCTCAGCGATGCTGTGAGGATCGGTGGCTTGTCCTCTACGAGCCCTCACTCGCGGCTGTTTTGGCGGGGCTGGCAGTGCTCCTTCTCCCGTCGGTGCGGAGGTTAGCGCTTGGTTGAACGGTGCCACAGGCGGTGCTCCGTAATTCTGATACGGTTGTGGATTATTGTTCATCGGAGAGTGATGAATATGATGAAGCTGAGGCGGTAGTTGAGTGAGAGTTCCAGACAATCCGTGGTATAAAGCCGCTTCATATTCGCTAGTATTCCTCTGCATTTACTCGTGATGAATGCAAAAAGCTGAGAAATTCAACTCTAAAATATGGAAACAACAGACCCAATGAAAAACTAGGGAGGGTGTGTGTATGCAGACCTAGAACATATAGATACGTACAGTAACTTATCATAAACCAATAACTAAGACAACTCACCAGTAATGAATTTCCATCATTTTGAGCATCCTGGGTAAAGCTCAATTGACCACCGAGGATGCCAAAACTCCCAGCAGCTCCGGTCGAAGACCCAAATTCAGCACTGGTAAGTCCTCTAGAGAGCAACTGCTGCTGAAGCATAATTGCAGTTGCAGAATTTGAGGCGAGGAGGTTTCCGTCAATGCTGTTGGTATGATAGTCCTGGAGCTTTGAAGCCAAATGAGTCGATGATGGGTCGTCGAAGCAATATGACTGGTCGCCAACACCTGAGCTTAGACTTGAGAGGGGGAGCGGGGAGAGGGAGTGAGGGGAGGATTCCCAGAGGCGGTGAGATAGGGAGAGGTCATTCCAAGAAGAAGAGGAAGGGATGGGAGACAGAATCTGGTCCAGCAAATCGCCATCATGTGGGGACGGTATCAGATTAAAGTCAGAAAGGGAAATGTGCTGCTGGCCTTCGCAGCTGCCATTGCTAATGCCGTTATGGAGGTCTTGGATGGTTTTGAGTTCTTTCATCTATATTGCTACTGTTTACAACACAAGGGCTGATATGACCATAATAGCTTGATTGATCAGGGTCCCTATGAGCTTGACAGCAAGGTTGAAGTTGAACTGCCAAGGAATTAGAAAAGTGAGAAAGATAGAAAGAACCATATAAATAGATAGATAGATAGATAAAGATGAGGGACCAAGAAAGAGAAAATACCTCTGGACCTAATTGGCAATCTCCGATTAAACGAATGTCCAAACATTTATTATCATACTTCTCATTTAACAAAAACAAATGTGGGTTCTTAAAATGTATGGCCACCATAAATTTCTAAACTACGGTTGCTCTCTTTAGTAGTTTCTAACTCTATCTCCTTTCTCGTGAATTTTCTTCTCCGTTTTTTTCTTTATCCTCTCTCTCAATTTACCAAAATTCTACAAATACAAAAAATAATACAAGTCCACCCTACATTAGTGAAAAAAAATCATTTTTATATACTGAGTACATAAGTATTTTGATGTATAATTACACTGCATATAGTGAGCAATGGGTTGATCATTTAGTGAACAATTTGTTTTTATAGGAAGCATATACGGCTATATGCCTTTGTTAAAACATGATTATGCCATGATCTTGTATAAAAATATTTATTTACAATTTCACAGTAAATCCATTCCTCACTTTAGTCTGCATCTCATTTCTCTCGTCTAAATATTCAAGGGTTTCTTCATATTCTTACGCACAAAGGAGGTTAAGGCGCATCAAGTATTCAATTCAATCTGAACACACAGACAAGTTTTGTTTTGTTGATACCATTTTAATCTATGTGCTTTTCTTTTTCTTTTACACAGGATATTGTTTGCGCTCCTTCAATTTGATATATACAACACCAGGATATTTTCAGGATTAATACAGATTTTGCTTATTGTAATTGTGATTTTGTGAAACTGGTGTCACAGAAAGAGTTTGGCAATAGTATAGGAAAAGAGGAGCTGATGTTATAACGTGGTAATTCGGAATCATGTTTAAGGTTAGAAATTTGTTTTCTCTAAAAGTACTTCATTATTATTTTCAAATTCAATAGACGTTCAAGCTAGGAGATCAATACTTCCATTGCGAAACGGAATAGGGTGCTAAAGTGAATATAAATTGTTAGTGTGTTTTATGCATATTTTGCATACCCTGTTTATCTGGATATATTTCCTGGCATGGACATGCTTGGTTGGACTTGATGGTAGTAAGAAGTACAAACTTGATACTCCACAGTAAACATTCCTCATTCTATTATTCATTTGACATTTTTTGTTCATTCATTACCATATGTATCTGAACACATATCTGAAACGTACTGTTTGGTTAAATGTTATACTCTCCATCCCAAAATTAAGTATAATGTTTGACTTCGCATAATTTAAGAAATGTTGAAAAGTAAATAATGTGTGACTGGAACTAATTTAAAAAGAAACTTTGTGAGCCCTACCAAACACTTTTGAACATTTCCAATATAAATTTTCAACCTAAATACGGAGTATATCTTATTCAGACATTTCCTCAAATACTTATCGCACCGGTTCAATGCAATGTTTCAACCTAAATATAACTCGTTTAGACATTATATCAAACAGTTTGAACACATTACACATGTGCCAAACAACCATTATAAAGTTCAAAGGATTATAGTACGAAATCAAGCCTCATAATATCCCAACATTAAACACTAAGCAATCCATATTTCCAGAGTAGAACACACAATGTGATTAAAAGTTAACCAAATATACACCTTATAAAATATACAAAAATAATAATTCATAGATTCTAGACTAACCTCGAAGTTTTGGTAATGGAGTTCCGGCGAAGACGTCGGCAAGCTAACGGCAGCAAGGTGGCGACAAAGACGCCGAGGGCCTGCTGCTGCGTTTTTGAAATTTTTTCTAAGTAAATGTCTCGATCTGAAAGTGTGAAATGGGAAGGATTGACGGGGCGGGATTTTCTCAACGGAAATAAGATTAGATTAAAGCACAGAGTAGATTAGTGTCGCGATCCGGGTGCATCACATTAATTATTAGGCGGCAATAACGCTCGGTGGTTCACTAACTCACCCTATTGCCCTGTAATATAATCCGTCTAACTTTTTTTAAAAAAAACAATCCCACTATAATTTTTTTAACTAGTGTTAATTTCGTACTTCGCACAGGCTCGTGTATATTCTAAAATTTGGACATTTCATAAATATAATTTTTTTATTTTAACTTTCTAACAGTGACAAAACATGTTTTAAACTGTTGAATATATATTGCTATGTTAATTTAAAAACAAAAAGTTTTATACAAAATTAGTGGTCATTGAATGAATTACAAATGAAAACGATTTTCAATAATAAAATATTATAATAAAAAATTCAATAATTAAATAATGATACATCATTAAAAAATGTATATGTGACATAATGTCACTTGTCACTCTTCAATTAAATCAACTTTATTCTATTTACTTTGTTTAAAAATATATGTAGTGATAAATAAATAATATCATAAGATAAAAGTTTTGAAGCAAAGTATTTGATTAATAAAAATGCATATGTGATTAAATTTATATGATTATTTTTTGAGAAGTAATAAACTAAAAAAATGGTGAATAGTATACAAAATCATATATACGTAGTATGTATGTATATATATATATATATATATGTATATATATATATATATATATATATATACTCTGAATTGATATTTATGAGATGATTTTTTTATATTAAAAATCCAATGTTGCGGGCATATTATACACACGAATTGCCATCAACCTTAAAATCCAATTCGTGTGTTTGTGGTTAACATCTATTCGAGCGGAAAACATCTCCACAACCTTCGTAATGTAAAAGCAAAAAAAAGGATCAATGCACACATAATATGTATAAATTATATAGACTTGTCTTGCATGTATATTGATGTATATAGGTAAATCAATGTGAGAAATCCCTAACATGTAGTAAACATATGGATGATTTTTTTCACACGGTTTAGAAGACCAAAAGTTCTCATTCAATAAATTCAATAAAACCACTGCATTATTGCAATTAAATGAACTTGTTATGCGAAAATTCTTTGGGATACAGTACACATACGAATGAAAATATGTCTCCTTAACTATGGAAAGAGGATGCTTTTTTAAAATCTTTCTTTACAACCCCAATGTAAATACTAAATGATATAACAACCTTGAAATATGTACAGCTAAAAATAAATGATATAAAAATCGTATTTATTTATTTATTTTGGTTTTTATAGTAGACAAAAAATTAGTTTCAAAAAAATGCTAGTTAATTAATTAAAATTAAATATAAAAATGCAATTCTTTTTTTATTCAATTTTTATTCTTCATTAAGTAAATAAGTTAATTTAAAATGCCGTGTGAAGAAAAAACCACTGCATAATTCTTTCAAATTACAAAAACAAAGCATATTGAATTTGTGGAGAAAATTGGTACGTAACTTGTGTTTTCTTCTCCTCCCTGACTTGCTTTAATTTCAAGTTTGAGTGCTAGTGGAAAAAATATAATATTTTTTTGGGATATCTCACGTACATGCAACATGAAGTAGATATAGGGAATGAAATTATATTGGAAATACTCAAAGAAAATTCTAGATTTTGAATATTTTAAAACATTAAATACGTACACTATTTTAATGAGAATGGTATTCCAAAACTAATTTTTAAAAGATCAAGTTGCATTCTTCATTAAGTAAAGAAGTTTATTTAAAATATTGTGTGAAAAAAACCACTGCATTTACAATTAAATAAACTTGTTATGTGAGAATTCATTTGGATATACTCCCTAGTACACATACGGTTAGTAGATCAAAAGTTCTCATTCAATAAATTCAAAAATACTATTACATTATTGCAATTAAAAATGTAATAAATGAACTCATTAGACCCAAGAAATAATATTAGCCTTACATGTATCACTAATCGGAGATGTACAAATCAGATTATGCCCAAGTCCAACCATGGGCGGGAAAAGGGTTTTTTTCACATGGCATTTTTTGAATTTCCAAAATCTTTTACTTTTGTGTAGGAGTATAGAGTATTTTTTTCACATGGCATTTTTTGAATTTCCAAAATCTTTTACTTTTGTGTAGGAGTATAGAGTATTCTTACTACGGATTATTATTTTAACTCTTTTAATAATACTCCGTAATATTAATTTAAATTGAATTTATATCAAATCAGATTTTAATTTAAATTTAATTTATATCTAATCAAATCTGTTCCAATCACACATATTGGAACTTCAAAAAATATTGTAAAGGTTGTTGAAATCAGATTGAAGTTAAAAGCTCGTCGACAACCCTAATTCGATCATATCATTATCACTCCGTATAATCGCATTGTTCTTCGTTGCTGCCCGATTTTGTTTTTCGTCCTCTCTCCCAGCTTAAACATAAGCCGACGATCGGTGCAACGATGTTCAAGAACACTTTCCAGTCCGGTTTCCTCTCCATCTTATTCAGCCTCGGGTGCGTATTTCTGTGTGTGTGTGTGTATATACATATATTTGTTCTTCCTGTTGTCCGGAATTGTTTATGTCTCCCTCAGTTGTTAATTATTTATATCTAGCTTTCTGATTTCCATGTTTTTTTATTTTGACAGGAGCAAGCCTTTACAGATATGGGATAAAGAAGGTAAAAGAAAATTTAAAAGAAGAACTTTTTGTCACTGTTATTGTTGCTATTGGTGAATTTTGCGTACTATGATTGATACTGAGTATATGCTTACTTTGTTTCAGTGGCAAACATTATGTTATGCAGTTATAGTAAGGGAAAATAATTTGGTTAGGGCTTAGCTTTCAAGTGTAGCATAATTTACAGTTGTTTCAATGCATATTTGAAACAAACACTGCAATTGAATTACCAAAAGTGGCTGTTTCATCTGAATTACTCCCAACCAAACCANGGGGGGGGGGGGGGGGGGGTAAACTGGAAATAATAACATGGCATTTCATGTTGTCTTGTTCTAGTTAGTGCAATGACCTGAGAATTTCCACATTTTATGCACAACAAGTCAACAATTAGTCACTAATGTCCCCAAGTGGGATCGGGATGGTGGGTGTACGTAGATCTTACGCTTGCCAACGGAAACACAATTGTCTCAAGAAAACATAAAAACAAGTTAAAACGACCAAATGCCAAAAGAACATTTTTTTGTACTTTGTTCAAAATTAGTGTCAGGGCTGATTTAGACCCTTTCTAAGTCACCGTGTATTGTATTCTCTTATTTTGGCAGTGGAGTTGTAGACTACCTGTTTTTCTGACCACTTTCTTGACCACTATTAACTCCACTGCAATGTTGGTTATGTAGTTTATGTTCGCATATACTTTCTCAACCTCTTAAAGAACAAAGAGTTAAAGTCCCCACCGGGGTTTGAAGCTGTGACCTCCCATTTGGGAGAGCCACACTGGACCACAATATCTTTGGTTGGAGACTAAGTGTTTGTTTTGTATGTTTTGTGTCAAGATTCCTTGTCTGAGCTAAAGAGATCTTCGAGATGTGTTTAATATGTAGCACTTTGGCAATGCCAAAGTAACATTTTTCTTTGATTCTTTTGTAGTTTCGAATGGCCATGTTAAACGCCTACAAGATGATGATATACAATCCAATGTTATTGAAGTTGTTGGATCAAATGTCCAGTCAGCCTTCATTACATGTCCTGCAGACCCAAACGCAACTCTTGGCATAAAGCTGCCTTTTTTAGTTGTGATTGCCAAGAATCTGAAGAAGTACTTCACCTTTGAGATTCAGGTGCTGGATGATAAAAATGTCCGGAGACGATTTCGAGCTTCTAATTTTCAAGTCTGTAAGTCTACCCTTTGCTCGTTGTTTCACGCTATCTTCTATGTATAGAACTTCTGAAAATGCAAAGTGACATCGTATTTGATTAGAATTTTTTATAGAGTTTACATATACTTAGATTTCTTAGTATTTACTTCCTCCCTCCCGAATTAAGATTCTACATTTGACCGGGCACGGTTATTACAAAAAGTGAAATTGAGTGGTTGAGAATTATGCAGGAAGAGAAATGGCGTAAACCATATAAACATAATCATTTTTTGCACATACCGGAGTATTTATTTGTCAGCTCTTTGATATTTTTGTATATTTTAGGCAGTGACAAGAGTGAAGCCATATATATGCACAATGCCATTGAGATTGGATGACGGGTGGAATCAAATCCAACTAAACCTTGCTGATTTGACACGCCGAGCATATGGGACCAACTATGTGGAAACTTTGAGAGTTCAGGTGCATGCAAACTGCCGACTCAGGAGGATCTATTTTTCAGACCGTCTCTATTCCGAAGAGGAGCTCCCCCCAGAATTCAAACTTTACCTCCCAACTATGCAGCAGGAGCAACAGGTAATAAACACTACTACAAGCTGAGCATGTCCTGAGAGAGCTCATTTTAGGTTCAATTGACACCAATGTTAGTATGACACTGGGTCCATTTTAGGGCCCTACGGATCCTTGTTGGGCCCATGACTCGGTCCACCCCAACATATACCCACATCCCCTATGCTACACCCACCCCCTCACACACACACACACACACACGAAAAAAGAACCCCTGAACCAGCCCTGTACTTAAGTCCAAAAAATCATCGTAGGGCTTCAAATGGCATGGTGTCACACCAACACCGGTGTCATTTGAACTGCACCATCATACTGCTTATGGATGTACTACATATGTGACAAGGTGTATGGCTTTTTAGGCACACTTAAGATTTTGCTGTCCTAAATAGGCTTTATATCACTTTCTTTACTTTTGAATGCAGCGGAGGACCTGAGATGACCTTTCTGGAATGCAAGCCAAACTAATGGTTTTGGTTGGTTCGGAGCGTTTGATTGATCGAGTTGTTTATTTGGAGTTATAGTTTGGGACTGGGACATGCTCAAAATGTTGTTTTATACAGACTAGTTTCAGGAACAAGCATTTCGC